ACAACTCAATAAAACATGTAACAAAATATGATTTTTTAAAAAGGTGGGCGGGTAGAGGAACCGAATAGAATTTTTTTTTCCAGAGGAGACATCCACATGCCCAACAATACATGAAAGGATGCTCAGCATCACTCATCATCAAGGAAATGTAAGTCAGAACCACAATGAGATCTCACTGCACACCTGTCAGAATGGCTGTCATAGAGAATATGAGATAGCAGATGTTGGGAAGAATGTGGGGAAGATGGAACATCTGGCATTTACATAGAATTACATAAAATTATGAAATTTAAAAGCTAGAAAGCAATTTAACAGTCACTGAAATTAGCAGCCAAGATTGATAGGAGGAACTGAGGCTAAGAGTGGTTACAGTGTTTGCCCAAATTCTCTTTCCGAAATGTGAGCAGCTCTGAGATTACAGTCCAGGCTCCTTGACTCCTGATCAGAGTTCTTCTCTCAGATCATGCTGTCATTCATAATGCATCTCACCAAGGAATTAAAAAAACAAAAGAACACCTTGTTTTGTATAATGTCTTTAGCACATGGCACTGACATGTTAGAGTTGCACGGTTTGACAGGACACTTCATTGCCCTGAGATTTCAGATTCTTTTTCTGAACTTTCACAATCTATCCTTCCAAAATAATGTGCCTTAAGGGGTCTAGGTAGCCTAGAATTAGGTGGTCCACTCAGGTCAGCATTGCTACCTTGCAGGTAACAGCAGAAAGTCTTTTTTCTGGCTTACTAAAGTAGGGGTGTTGATTTCATTGTTTGCATAATGGGACATCAAGAAACTGCTTTTCATCGCTGACCAGTGTTACCCACTAAATAGTCTTAGAAAAAAATCATAACTAGTATTGTCCGAATTTTCTAGATACTAATTATGGGGAAAAATTCTATGAGCCTATACTGAAAAGAGGAGTTTCTGCTTACAGGAAAAAAATGAAAACTTAAAAAAAAAAGAGGACTTTTTGCCTCTCACTTCTTTTTTCCATTGCTCCCCTTTTCTCTGAAAATCCCTTTAGACAAGTTAGAAAAGCAGAACTTGGAAAGTGAAGGACTTTAGTTGTTCCTTGAAATAGTGGGTGGGGTGCAGTCATGAGAAAGCCCTTAAATAAAAGCACAGCTTCCTCTGTTCTGTCCTGGAATTGATTCTTTCAATCTAGGGGAAGTGAGTTGATTTTCTCCTCCTGTTGTTTTGGGTGGGTGCAAACTGCTGTTTGTGTGTTTATTTTTTAAATTGATTTTATTTTAATTTAAATATTTCAACCCATTTATAAAGGTAGTGTCATATACCAAGTCCTTTCCTCCCTACTTTTGTCATGTGAAGGGATTGCTATTCTGATACTTCATTGAACCCCATGAGTGTAAATTTTGCTCATCAATATTGCAGGCTTATATTGTTTTGGTTTCTTTTGTTTAAATACTTTAATCTTTATCTCACAATATTGATTTCAGTGGGAACTTTATATATATAAAGAGAGAGAGAGGAATAGAGAGTTAGAAACATTGATGAGAGAGAATCATTGATCAGCTGCCTCTTGCACACCTCCTACTGGGGATGTGCCAACAACCAACCAAGGTATATGCCCTTGACCGGAATTGAACCTGGGACCTTTCAGTCCACAGACCAACGCTCTATCCATTGAGCCAAACTGGTTTCAGCTCAGTGGGAACTTTTTATTGCTTCAAAAGGAATGCTCTGTACGAAGTGTCCAACAGATGTAGAAAGCAAAATGAACCTACTCATTCTTGGATCATGGTCTAACTGAAAATAGCTTAAATAATCATTTTATTTCATGTCTAACTGTCCACTCTGACATTTTAATGAATAATATATACTTTTTGTATTAGTTTTCCATATATTTATTCTCCCTACAGATTATGACACATTTAATTTATTTTATATTGTCATAGACATGACTAATACTCAGTTATTCTTCAAGTACTACTGAACTTGAATTTGCACATCACATAAACATATACATCTTGACTTATTTTTTAAAATTTGCAAAACTTTTGCATTAAACTTTTTATGCTAGAAGTTTAATCAATAATAACCAAATGGGTTAAATTAACAATGGATTTTTTTAATAGTTGTTTATTTATGCCTATAATTTAGTTACCAGTTATAATAATACTATTGAAGAAATTTTGAATTTGGACAATTTAAAAAATACCTGGAGTAAATAGACAATATATTAAATTTGGTTTCCACTCAAAATTTAGAATAGTTGGTACTATCTTAGTACTTATATTTTAGCCATTCTTGACATTATTGAAATTAGATCTTTAAAATAAGGATAAAATCATTGCTGATCTAAGGCTGCCACATTGATTTCAGCTGATTATTCTTTATAAAAATCCACCCTCCCACCCTTGTGTGCAAATGGGACTCTATACCCACAAACCCCCACAGGAGGTGGGCCTGTCCCAAAGAACGATAGTCCTTTTCCTTTCTTTTTAAAAAAATATATTTTATTGCCTTTTTACAGAGAGTAAAGGAGAGGGATAGAGAGTCAGAAACATTGATGAGAGAGAAATATCAATCAGCTGTCTTCTGCACACCTCCTGCTGGATATGTGCCCGCAACAAAGGTTCATGCCTTTGACCGAAATCGAACCTGGTACCATTGAGTCCACAGGCCCATGCTCTATTCACTGAACCAAACCAGCCAGGGCTGCTCATGTTTTTTCTAAGTTACAGAGAAGCTTTTGCTTTTCAAACCATGTGCCCCACAGGATAGCCCAGAGAGGGAATCTTTTCAAACTGATACAATTGAGATATATGGGACAATGATGGCCCTGTTATTGAAGAAGTTTTCATGGATGAATTGGGTTTCAAGGAAGGCCATTATAAATGGTAAAGATTTATTATGTGGATCACAGGGAGAAAGGTTTTGCATATGGATGAAGGGGAGCAGCATTTAGCATGGGTGGAAGTACAAGGTCTGAGATGAATAAGACATCTGCAGTAGTTAGTGAAGAGATGAGATTGATTGGAACAAAATGTGCATGTCTTTGATGAGTAGAGGATTAGATGGAAAAGGTCAGCAAAGGTCTGATTGTAAGGATCCTGAGTACAGTGTAAGGAATTTGGATTTCATCCTCCAGATGAGAAATCACCCTAGGCATTTGTCCAAATGCATCACATGATCAGTGATAACTTACTTTAGGTAGATTAACCCACGGTTGTACAGCATTAAATAGAAGGAATAAGAAAAGATTAAAGGAAAGGAGACAAGTTAGAGGATGCTATATACAATACATAGTTTTCCTTATCTAGCCAAGGATCTAATGAGGATGAAAGGAAAAGCTGATTCCATAGTTGTTTTTTATTATAACCTGATCTCTGAAAGAAATCCATATTTATTATTAAAAAAAAACTTGAAAATATGAATATATATACACATGAAAGAAAATTAAAATCATCATTCTCTTTTAAATCATAGATGAACACAGCATTTTAGGCACTGTTGATTTTTTATTTTGTTTCAATTTATGTATATTGACATTATGGTATATGAACACTATTTTTATATAGCTAGTTATTTTTGTCATTACTATGTAGCGGGCATTTTTCTTTTTTGTTAATAAAAATTCCCAAAGGACCTCATTTTACATGTCTATACACTATGTCATTTCATGAGTAATGTAATTAACTATTCCAATGAATATAAATTTAGAGCATTTCCAACTTTTTGTTATTATTATTAATACTACTTTAATGAACGTCAATCCACATAAATGTTTTATTCCATACTCCTCTCCCCTTCTCCACAAAAAAGTAAATTACAAAATAATACAAAAACTAAGTTAAGCATTTTGTTCATTTATTTATTTTGCCTATTTTGATTCTAGTTCTGATATAACATGTCCTACCCTTAGTACATGTTAAGAATTTGGGGGCAGAGGACTGAAGATTTGTTGAAATTATTGTTTTATTTTGTTGCTTGCCATTTAAAATGATGTATTTTGATCCATTGTTCTATATAGGGGCATTTATGATCTTTTCAGTTTTTCTCTATTTTAAACAATGTGTGTGTGATGAATATCATTGCACATATTTTCATGTGCACAAATAAAAGGGTATAAACCTTAAAAGTGAATTATAGGGGTTGAGGACACATAAATCTTCAATTCTAGTAACTTATGTAAACTAAAGCAATTTACGCTCACTTCTGCGGGCAGCACAGAGAAATTCCAACTTACCCACATCCTTGACAGCCCTTCCTTTTAAATGCCTGCAAATCTGATGGATGTGAAATAGTATCTTATTTTGTTTTGCATTTTTCTGATAACTGATGAAGTTTAGCATGTTTTTATGTCTGTTGGCCATTCAGACTTCTTGTCTGGAATTTACCCATTTTGTATTTAGTTACAGTCTTTGTCCTCTTTTTGTATACTCTGGATACTAATCCTGTGAAAATTATCTCACTTGCCAAGGTATTCTTCCAGTATCTGTTTATTTAAAATGTAAAACAATTTTAGGCAGATTTATCAAAGTTCTAAAGTGTTAAAGTGTGGGTGTTTTCTATCTTGCTTTACACTTTCTCCAAAGTCAAAAGCCTTTCACCTACATTTTGTTGTCATTCTTTTTAAGTTAATTGCTTTACCTTACATTTTTAACTCGTCTGACACTCATTTGCATAACTACGTAGACATTTTCCAGATTAAGGAAGGGGAAAGGTATAAAACAAACAAAAATTGGGTGAACTGTATTATAGTTTCCATTTCAAGTCTGGTTCTTATTTTAGCAACAGGTAGCCACATCCACCGAGGTTTGAGGTAATGAAATCAATGTCTTTCTCATTGACAACACAGCAAATCTACGGGAGTTCATCCACGTGAATTCTTTCAAAACCATGACTTCTAACTGGAGTTGAATATGATTTGATACTTGTGTGTTTGCAGACTTAAGTGTTCCTAACATCTTGCGTACATCCAGAAGGAATGCGTTGTCATCTTTAATTGGTTAACAGAGGATTCCTTTTACTTTCAGCAAGTCACAGAAGCTGTGAGCCCGTCAGTGCTGCCCCCTTCAGCTTTGCCGCTGGACCAGCTTAATAACGCGGTCACTGCCTTCAGCACCTTGGAAGACCTTATTCGCTATCTCGAACCAGACAGATGGCAGTTGGACTTAGAAGATCTGTATAGGCCAGGTTGGCAACTTCTTGGCAAGGCTTTTGTTTTTGGAAGAAAATCCAGAGGTAAGCTCTCTCTTCAGATTAGAATCTCATTTCCTTTCCTTAGCACCTCATGTCTCAGATTCTTCTGCCATAGCTTCTGATAAGTAGAGTTTAAAAGCTCTTCAGGGATATATTGACATAATCCATTTTTGTAACATTTGAATATATTTGCATATTAAATGAGAACAGATACAAAAGAGGGCACTTTATTATCACTCAGTGAATTTGGGAGATTAAAATGGCTACTTTTGCTGAATAGTCTTGTCATTTTTTAAATTCAAAAATATCACTTTGATGGTCTTCTATTATATTTCATAAGAATCAGTGCTTATTCAAACCTAATATATGGGGCATATTGATTTAGAGATCCAAGGGATATTATCATAGCTGCTAAGGAATCAGGTTTGGAGCTGGAAAAGGGGAAACTCTATTGAATTCATTATCTACCCTATCTGTGAGGGTCAGGATTATATCAATTTCTATTTCCAAAGCCTAGAAACTTTTATAAATAATATGAAAAGTAACAATGGCTCACCATAAAATAGAACTAGCTTTTTCCAAGATAGAATACATAGTAGGAAGGAACCCACACTACTGTAAATTTACTTCTGAAATGATCACTTTTGACCATAGGAGCATATCGCCCTTCAAGAGTGAAGGTATTGATCACTACACTTGATTCCACACAGTCAAGAAATCAAAACTAATGTTAACTGAGCTTGCTCTAAGGTTAGCTAATATCCTAGTACCTTTAGAATCGGAAAGCATTCATATCAGACACAAATGAACATGTAATATAAAGAACTGAATAATTGTAATACACTCAAAAACATCTGTTGAAGTCTGTCAGAAACATTGAAATCTGCCTGGTGTCACTTTGGAGAATGGGAAGACACCCTGTAAAGTGCATGCAGAGGGAGCAGTGTTTAGTTAATTTGAGTGATTCCCAGGGGCAGATTGCACCAGACTTGTTCTCCTAAATCTTGTCAGAGAGAAGCCCGCTTCCTGCCCTTTCCTGCTAAGGGTTGCAGCCTTTCTGGCTGAGGAGCTTTCATCTCAGCGGGCCATGTTCAGACTTGCCCAACCGTGGTCGTTTGCTATGCCAACAGACGTGGTTTTCTTTCAGAGATATTTGAGAGTGGCGTTCAAGTCCACGGGCAGCCGAATCTTGTCCAGATGCTAAAAGTTGTTACATATTTATAAGATTTGATCTTGATGAATAACTTGATGAATAACCTACGAACAATACTTCCCTTCCCTCCCACTTCGGAACAGGAAAATAGGGATCTGTGAGGCTGGCTGCAGCAGCCATGAATAGAACCTTTGTTGGCAAATTGAAGTAGATGATCATGCTGATCTGCAAAGAGCAGGGGGAATAAACCAGGTTCGAAGCTCAGATGTAGTTTTTGATGGCTGATCTCGGGATTTGAGCCTAAAAATCTTCCTTCTAGTCAGATGCCTTTATTTACGCCTGTACCTCTGCACGTGGTGATCCATGATTTGGACAGCAGCTAGCAGATATTTTTAAAAGCACCCAGTACTGAACTAGATCTTTCAAATATTCATTTAGCACTTTCCAAATTGAAGCCCTTTGCTGTTTGCCAAAACTATTAACTTTTTAAGCATACGGTAAGTGCAAGAAAAGCACTGTATATTTTTGGAACTTTACATAAACTAAAATGCAGGTGTGGGATAACATCTATATAGACAAACCCAACTTCCCTCCCAAGAGTCTTTCTACAAAGGAATGAGGAGTCAAACATTTAAAAGCTTCTAATTAGACATCGAAATAGATTTTCCACAGAATAAACATATCACCATGTTATCACATTCATCTTAGAAAGACCACCCTCAGATTGCATTACAGTAATAGAATATGCTTGGGCTGAATATCTCAAAAGAATGAACAACAAACATAATAAAATGTGAGCATGGTTGTTGTTTTATTTTAATCAAGCATTATCCTTTTCAATAAAACGTGCAATAAGAATTACTCTAAACGAGAAAATTTGCATTAGAAATAACTTTCATTAGTGTCATGCTCAAAATCTTCATTCTTCAGAAAGACAAATTAATGAATGTATTGTCTTAGGTGGTAATTTTGAAAAGGAAATAGGAATTTGAATGCTGAGTTTTACTTTACAAATATTTTGTAGAGGGAGGGAAAGTTCCATAATATTATAGTTAAGTGTTTTTTTTTTTGTGTGTGTGTGTGTTTTAATTTAAATTATGTGTTGGGGCTTGATCTTTCTCTCCCTATTTCTTTTTCCAATAATAATAATAATTTAATAATAATAATAATAATAATAATAATAATTTATTATTATTATTTTACCTAGAAAATCTGCACAATGTTTAGAGAATTTGTGATCCCAATTTATACTCACATGACTTGTTTTAATATAAAAAACATAACAAATGAGTGGAAGCTAAGTTGAAAGTGTGCTTAATGAAGCTTAGGTGGGTTTGAAGCTCTAGAAATAACAAGTATAATTTTCAGCTATGATTACCAAATCTAAAACCCTTATTGTATTTTTATCCCAGAGTAGACAGCACTAATGTTTTTCTCTTTCATTATTTCCCCTTTCTTCTTCTGGCTCAGGGTTCTCATTCATACCATGCTACTACAGGAAAAAAAAGAAAAAGAAAAAGAAAAAGAAAGCCTATTTTCTAAGTCAGGCTTAACTTGTACTTAAAAAGGGCTTTTGACTTCTGTGTCAAACATGATAAATGAGTGGAAGCTAAGTTGAAAGTGTGTTTAAATTTTCACATTGTAGCAGGTATCATAACTTAGTTCACTTGGGAAATCTATCTAACCTTTTATTGTGGTTAAGTAAACATTTTAAAGTGAACATATACAGTCTCATTTTCTAGTTTCATGAAATAGTGTGTTTAAAAGTATTTGAGGTAGATGAATATCTTTCAAAGCTAAGAGCTTCATTCACATTCTAAAGACACATAAATCTTAAATACGCGTCACAAATTTTGGCAACTGGCTTCTGTATGTGCATGCATGTTTTAGGTTTTCTCCCTTTCTTAATCAGATGGTAACTTCTAGAGGAAATATTCAAATAGACTCATATGTAGCTTTAACAATAAAGAGAAGTATGTGCCTGTGCTATTATTGCACCAAAATAAAATCAGGCAAAATCAGGTGACATCACTTAACCTGGTTATCTCATTAATTTTATTAGAGATAAGTTGGTCTTTTATAGCACTGAAAAGAATGAACTCATTTCCCCTTAAATATTCAAAAGCTTTATTTTTACAGGATCATTTTTTCAGATGAAAAGAAAAGGAAATCTTTAAATGCTCAAATAAAACAGTGATTTTTCTATTGAAATGGAAAAGATAATTTTTAACTGAATAAGGTGTTGAAAGTAACCTATTGAATCAGCATTTCTCGGTGTTCTCCTATCACTAAGTTTTTAGCCAACCAAATAGTTTATATATGTTTACATTTATGATTGAATATGCATAATTTATAAAATATTTTAGAAAATACATGAACTCCCTTGACATTTTAGGAAAATTTGATCATATATATAATATAACAAAGCCAAGAAAATAAGCATTTGATTCATAGTTACCTTGTTATTTCAAAATTATTTTAAAATATTGGGCTAAATTTTTTAAAATGGGATTACATAGTCATGATAATTATTTGAAGCAATCTCTAACCAGAGAATGTTTTTTCTTTTTCCTCGATTCTTATTTATAATGTTTTCAATATTAGCAAAGGATATTTAACTAGATTTATTATATTTTAGATAATTTTCCTAAAGTTTAATAAACCATTAATTTTATTGGTGGAAAAAAACTGATAAATTATATGTTATCCAAAACTTTTCAATTTTATTGGAATTGTTTTTAATTTGCATATCTCTAAAGAGGAAAAAAGGCAAAGTTTAATAGAAATTAAAATTATATTACAGATACTTATCATAATTGACTATTATTTATATCTTAGATATAAATTCATATTAAACATTACATTTAATTTTGATATAATTTCACTAAGGCAGTATAACTTTGTGGTTAAAAACAATGGTTCTTTGAGGATTTACTATTGATCAAAGGATATTTTGTTTGGTCTTAACAAATAGATACTGTTTTAAAGAATAAAGCACAGCATAGCTTAACCAACTTGTTAAAGGAATAGAGACAATGGCTATACATTAGACATTTCTTCCATCCTTGAGAAGAATAGAAATCTGAGTTAAATTAAATTTCAAAGGCCAGAAATTCTCAATGTACTAGAAGCAGTGCTTTCCAACAACCTCTGCTCTTTTAAAATCTTTCTTTTCTGCACGCTCCACTCAGCTATCTTCAAAATTTCATTTTCTTCACTCCTTTTTATATTTTATTATTTTTATTGCCAGAAAGATTATAGGAAATCTTGTCCACACGTTCCTGTATGTTGTTCTTCATTAATGGCATGAGCTTGTAATCTTTTTGAAACTTGCATTTATTTTTTAATCAAAGTATTCATTATTTGACAGTCTATTCTTCCCTCCAATAGTCTCCTTGTTTACTTTTTTACTAAGGTTAAAAGGTGTAGCCCTCTTTTCCCTCTGTAGTTTCCTATTTATAGCTCTCAACTGTTTTGTTGGCCCTGTTCTTGACATTGCACAATGGCATCTCTTTATTGGTCAGTAAATCATAATGAAGCTTTGTTTACTATGAAATAGAAAGACCAACTTGCAAGCTGCATAGCTCCCAGACCTAGCTACAATAAGGAGAGGTATTGCCAGAATTATTGTTCAGGACATAGTTTGATTTCTTTATGAAAAGAGTTTAATGGAATATATTCAAGCCCAGAGCGTGAACATCTATTTTTTTTTTCCTTCCTTTTATGCCATGCAGTGATGGATCTGAACCTTCTAAAAGAGGAGGTAAGGTTGTACAGCTGCACACCTCGTAACTTCTCAGTGTCCATAAGGGAAGAACTAAAGAGAACCGATACTATTTTCTGGCCAGGTTGTCTCCTGGTTAAGCGCTGTGGTGGAAACTGTGCCTGTTGTGTCCACAGTTGCAGTGAATGTCAATGTGTCCCAAGCAAAGTTACTAAAAAATACCATGAGGTAGGTATATCGTTTTATTTCTGGGTTTCTTTGGGTATTTTGTTGCTTTAAAAATAACAAAACGGTGTATCTGAAATGAAGTTTTGTTTGGAAGGCTGTAGCATTAATTTAAAAAAAAAAAAAAAAAAAACACAAACGAATACACTTATGTTCTCATTTTTTAAATTAGGACTTTTAACTAAAAATAAACAGACATTAAATATTTTGAAAGCTCATCTTTTGATAGTATACCATGGTAGTCAGTAAAGTATTTTTCTCTCATACAAAAAAACAAAATGTGTTCTTTTATATGGTAAAATAAGGGTGAAATTTTGCAACTTTTCAAAATCCGAAGGGAAATTTTTTAAATAGAAACTTGGAGATGAATCATTGTCTAATTTGGAGAAAGAAGATCTTTGATATTTTTTTTTCATTTGAGGTAGTGTAGGTACCTTTATCCCAAAAAGACATATTCATAAATATACCCATCTTCCTATTATTCATATTGTCCCAAATAATCTGTTATGGATGCTTCACCCTTTTATCTTTTTACGAATCAAGAAAATTCTGACATTAAAACTTAGCAACTATTGTTTTTCAGAGCCTTGGGAACCTTAGAACTGATACACTCTAAATTATTCATGATGCAGGAATATCCAAAATTCTATCCCTCTATCTCTCCAAGAGCATCCTGTAGTATTCATACATTAGGAAGCAATTCCTTCTTGATGAGTCAACTTTGAATTTATAAAACCTTTCCATTATACCAAGCCAAAATCGGCCTTTTTGACTTAATTTCAATATAGCTTCATTTCAATAGTTTTCTACTAAATAAAAGAATCTTTAAAAAGTAAATATCTGCTTCATAAGCAAAATGAATTTTTCTACTTGCATAAAGATATCAATGAAACCCTAATCCGTTAGGTAACCTAAACAAGTACAGTGTCATAAGCTATCCTGCAGATGACATGGTTGTCCTGCCCTTCAACAACATTGTGTTGGCAGCTGGTAAAGAGGGGGCAGGAAGCACTGGATTCCAGAAGACAATGGACCTTTTTTCCAACCTAGGTCTGTCTTTATCTTGTAACCATCAGCAGGGTACTGAGCCTCAATAAAATAGTGTAAGATATGAGAATTATGTTTTTTTTTTCCTAGCTATGTTATTCCAAGGCAGTTACTAATTGCAATTTTTAAAAGGTAACATCCCAGCCGAAACCGGTTTGGCTCAATGGATAGAGCGTCGGCTTGGGGACTGAAGGGACCCGGGTTCGATTCCGGTCAAGGGCATGTACCTTGGTTGCGGGCATATCCCCAGTGGGGGGTGTGCAAGAGGCAGCTGATCGATGACTCTCTCTCATCGATGTTTCTAACTCTCTATCTCTCTCCCTTCCTCTCTGTACAAAATCAATAAAATATATTTTAAAAAAAATAAAAAAAAATAAAAGGTAACATCCCAAACTAGAAGATTAAAAATAGGACAATTTACTGCCATAACTCATGTCCTACTTTCATTGCTACACTGTATTCTTCCAATGTGCCTTGTGCTGGGAACAGTCTCCACTCGTCACAGGAAGTAGACAGTTATGGACATGGTGGCTCAAGAAGCTCCAGCCAAGCTATGCCCAGAGTCCAGGCCGATTGCTGCTCCATGAACTGGGGTATCTAGTCAAGAAGAAGCCCTCAATCTGTTTTAAGTTTAACAGATTAAACTTAAAATACCTTATAGGCCAGGCTGATATTAGAGTTGTTGAATGGCCTAACATAAAAGGTTGGAATGAGAATAGGAATTAAACTTGAGTGATCTTTTCCCACCGAAAGTCATTCCATTTTGAACCATCTAAAGCAAGTTTTTACTAAACAAAGTGCATTTTGGGAACTCATTTAGCTAACAAATATTGGGTATATGACACCATTCTAAGAGCTATAAAATCCAAACCAGCTTCATCAGCCTTCTTAAACCAGCCTCTCAGATGCTGATTCCATGCAATGCTTTTGGTCAGATAAATCAGTCTTCAGGTGAAACATATCCTCTTCCATGTTATACTTTTAAATGTGTTTTCAAATTACATTAGTTGTAGGGTTATGAGGGAAATTGTCAAAGAATTTGTAATACTGTTTTAAAGTCTCAGGTAAAAACTTTGTGGGGAAAGGCTGTGGACACTGCTTATAGCATCACTGGCCTTCTTCCAGAATGACATTGATCCATTACGCACTAGACTTTGGGTGGGGTTGATTATGTATGCATTATATATATGCATACATATATACCTTTATGTGTGTAATTACATGACCATCAAGTGTAAGTTTCCCATATCCCTAAAGTGTGTATGTATAGAAATATCATTGACTAGTTACCTGCTTCAAATTTTTCATAAATAGCTCCAGTAATAACCTTGACTTAATTTTTTATTAATAAGTGTTATATGATTTTTTTTTGTAAAGGATCAAATTATTCTATGAAAAAAGGGAGGTTTAATTTGATGTAATTCATCATTCCTGAACTCTGAATTTTTCTTAGTTCATATTTTGGAAATAAATTCTTAGTCTAATACTACCCTTGAATAAATGAAATTATTTTTAAAATATAACTTAAAATATTATGAATATTTTATATTACTTGGGCTTTCATTCTCTTTGATGAGCATTGTTCTCATTTACACTTTGAAGATTTTTCCACCACATGGAGAAGGCAGAAGTAAAGACAGAGCTTAAAAGTTCTAAGTTTTCTTTCCTTCATCTCTACTATACCAGCTTTACCATTTCTATACCATCTCTACTATACCATTATTATCTTGTCTACCTTGTTTATATCTTCATATATTTAATTTCATTTTTCATAATTTAAAGTACAGTCTTTCTTATGCATAAATCTATTTATTTCGGAGGAAAATATACCATTCAATTGGCTTTTTCTACTAATGAGTCCCATCCTCCAAGGTTCTTTGACACCCCAAAATTTAAGGGCACTTTGCATAATTTGGGCAATGGTACCTGTGCCTCTATTCCTTGATGGTACCTTCTGTATGTAATCAATTCCTTTCCACTGGTTTTAGCTTTTCCCTGGATTATTTTTTCATTTGCTTATATTTAGAGTTTGATCTGCTCCCTCAACATTTTGTGAGATATTCTTCTGCCTTTTTGTTTGTTTGTTTTTATGGTCTCCTAAACTGTATCCTAAAAATCCAATGATCATCTTTCATATTATCTGGGACCTGCTGGTCATGTTTCAAGTCTAACTTTCTCTTCTCAAGTTAGAACTTTCAAACAGAACGGAGAAAGAAAACAATAAGTATAGTCCCACCACCTTGTGTTAGAATTTCTTATCCAAGACTTCAACATCACTAGGACATAAATAGATTATTTTTCTATCTGATCTCTACAAACATTCGTGGATGAAGACTGTGTGTGTGTGTGTGTGTGTGTGTGTGTGTGTGTGTGTGTGTGTGTGAAGGGGCTTTTGTTGAGTGAATGCATCTTGACATAAGCATTGCTAGAGGATGGGAGGGTTGTAGGGTTGCAGCTTAGCATCACTGCTTGTTAATATGGTAGCCTACCTTACCTTTTCCTGTCATAGCAATTTTTCTCCTGCCAACTGGGAAAATGTATACAGTGAAGATAGGAATTAAAGATTGCCAATATAACAATTTACCTGTCTTCCTAACCACATTAAAATAGTACATTTTTAGTCATTTTTATTCTAGCATTATGAAATGTAATAAAAATATAATTTAGAAGTTGACTATTTCCCATAGTTATTATAAGACATGCAGTTTGTCTTTCTGCAAAGAAAGTTACTAAATAAGTAGTATGCATAACTAGGTATATTCTGAGTCTTCATAAAATTATTACTATCACTCTAATAATTCATATTTGGCCTAAGTACAAATACTGGTTATGCCACTTATTCTCTCTAAGCTTCTGTTCACTCATGTGTAAAATAGGGGGAATAGTGATAAATTACTTCATAGAATTCTTGTGAGTTAAAGTCTGTAAAATCCTTATTATAGTGGCTAGCACTCATAAGCATTCAAAAAATGTTAGCTAATTAACCTTCGGTATGACCGCATTCTCCAAATGAGTTATACATTCTTTTTATTTTTCCCCCCTTATTTTAATCTTCAAGAAGAACAGTCATAAGACTTGACTTGTGCCTTTTTGGATTAATGAAAATGTCCAGGAACTTTTAGAAGTTGCTCTATGAAGTTATCTGTGTCATACCCAGAGGGCAGAGAAACCAGACAACTTCATGTTATTATGTGCTCTAGGGTTTGTTTAGAATCCAAACATAAATTCTAAAAATGTATCATTTCTATTCTAAGGAATAAAATGGATTGCACATTAAATAGGTAACTCTTTTCAAGTACATCAGGTAGTCTTTTATAGAATACACTAGAGGCCTGATGCACAAAATTCATGCAAGGGGCTTGGCCCTCACAGCTGCAGCTGTTCGCCTCAGTCCTCATAGCCCCAGCTTCATCTGGAAGGTTGTCCGGAAGGTCGTCCGGAAGAACTTCTGGTCTAATTAGCATATTATGCTTTTATTATTATAGATAGCTATGTCCTTTTGTTGTGTTGAAAGGAATTATGTTCATCATCATTGTCTACTGTGCTATATATTTTATTAAGATTCCCAGCAACCCAAACTGCAAGTAACTGCACTAAATAGAGTCATTATTGTCATTACCAAATCTCTATATACTGCACAGTAGGACCCAGCTGCAGAAAGTTAGCTATGACAGAGGCTGATGTCTATGAAGTACATCTAATCCATCCTATCAAGTTTATAGAGGACTTGAGGTGTAGCCAAGAAAATTAATGAGTGGCATAATTGAGCTAACTCAGCTGCAGAGCAATCATGTTTCTTTTCACAGTATCGCAGTACTTGCGTGTATTGCTTCGAGCATAAATATTTGTTAAATATGTGAACAAACGAATGACTGAAAGAGACTAACAAACAGAAAAAACTAATTGTTCCGTAGCGGTTCCAATATACTTCACCAAGGTGAAATGTCTCCATATTCTTAAAAGAGTTAAATGAAGAGTACATAGTGACTTTTTCCATTTAAGTACTATTCTTTATTCTGAGGCAGCATCCTTCCAAATATGGGTATTGAAATACTCTTGGTTTCATGAAAAATTGGTCATGTATGATTTTTTTTTTTTGAGGGGTGGGGGGTTACATTCGTACTGCCTTTCCTAGGAAAAAACACACAAAATCTATAGATCTTTGTTGGGCCCCAGGTTTATTTTCCCTGAAATATTACTTGTCTGTGAACCCATACCTGATAGACATTGATTGATTTTAACGGCAGTTTACCTTGCTTCCTCCAGGTCCTTCAGTTGAGACCAAAGCCTGGTGTCAGGGGATTGCATAAATCTCTCACCGACGTGGCCCTGGAGCACCACGAGGAGTGTGACTGTGTGTGCAGGGGGAGCACCGGAGGATAACGCATCGCCACACGCCGCCTTGGCCCGGCAGCGCCGCGCAGCGCAGAGGCTGGCTCTGTGAGAGAACTGATGCGTTACCGCCATCCATAATCTCAGTTGTTTGCTTCAGGGACCTTTCATCCTTCAGGATTTACAGTGTGTTCTGAAAGAGGAGACTCCAACCGGAATGAGGAGTTGTGCAACAGCTCTCTTGAGAGGAGGCCCCCATGACAGGGAAAAGGTCTCCGGTTGTGGAAAAAAAATATATTAAATGTTGTAGATCACTAGCTAGTTAGAGTGACCCTGCACTTACTCGGCTGGCTGTGTTCTATGTGTCAGTTGTCTTGATATGACTTTAGTTAATGTCAGTACAGGAAGGAAATGAGTGCAGATGGGCACCTGATTCTATTGCCTTGCTTATTAACTCTCAAGCTTCATAGTCTGGGCCTAAAAATAAAAAATAAAAATCACAGAAATCTGGAATTTTCTCCTTACGGTCACATGTATAAACCAGAGTGTTTGATGGCCTACAAACTTGGTTTAGGGGGAAAAAAAAAAAAAAAAAAGAACTATGTTGCTATAAATTAAACTTATGTTCTGTTGATAAGAAAGACTGGATTTTCCATATTTCTTATAAAGTATTTCTATCATTTAGAAGACACGAACTACATTTCAGGGTTTGGAAGAGACAAACCTGAAAAGAAGAGTGGCCTTACCTTCACTTTATCTATAAGTTGGTTTATTTGTTTTATTGTGTACATTTTTTATATTCTCCTTTTGACAATATAACGGTTTGCTTTTCTAATCTTGTTAAATATATCTATTTTTACCAAAGGTATTTAATATTCCTTTTTTTTATGACAACCTAGATCAACTATTTTTAGCTTGTTAAATTTTTCTAAACAGAATTGTTATAGCCAGAGGACAAAGATGATATGAAATATTGTTGCTCTGACAAAAATACATGTATTTCACTCTTATATGGTGCTAGAGCTTAGATTAATTTGCATTTTTTAGATTATTGAAATGGGAAATAAATAGAATTTGGTACGTTGTGAACACTTTTCAAAATAAGTAAGTTATCATATCCTCCACTTCTGTTATTGGAGATGCAAATAGAAAGTGACATAGGGACATAGAGAAATAAACATCTGGATTCATCATTACTCACCCCGAACCCTTATTGTCAGAACCGCAAGCCTAGCTCAGAAGAACACAAAGCACCTTGAAAAAAAGAGACTCAATGGCTTCCTGAAAAGCATGCTCTGCTGTCTTGTAGGAACACATCCTATTTATTGCTATGTTCTGGTTTTATTCTCTTGAAACTTTGTTCCACACACTTGTATAAATACATGGCTATTTTAATGTACAGAAGTATATCCTTTAACCAATTCACATATTGTACTCTTTGGCGATTGAAAAGGAAATCAGTAAAATACTTGGCTTGTAAATGCTTAATATTGTGCCTAGGTTATGTGGTGGCTATTTGAATTAAAAAAAATGTATTGAATCACCAAATAAAAGAATGTGGCTATTTTGGGGAGAAACTTGAGTATGTGTGAGTGTGCGTTTTGTGTGTGTGTGTGTATGTGTGTGTGTTTGTAAGATATGTCTCTGAAACACCCAGAAAGTGAAAAGTGATAAAATGTCTCATTACCTTAAATTTTCATTATGCAAAAATGGATGTCCATTTTAAAGACAAGTAATGAAGTGGATATTTCTATTGAGGCTACTCTGTCTCTTGTCTCCAATGCTTTTTAAAAAATAATATATTTTTATTGATTTCAGAAAGGAAGAGAGAGGGAGAGAGAGAGATAGAAACGTTCATGATGAGAAAGAATCATTGATTGGCTGCCTCCTGCACATCCCACACTGAGGATGGAGCCTGCAACCTGGGTATATGGCCCCACCAGAACGGAACTGCACCTTCTAGTTCACGGGTTAATGCTCAATTGACTGAGCCATGACTGCCGGATCTCCAATGTTTTTCAGCAGTAGTTTTCTTTTTCTTACTGGACTGGATACTTATTTCTGGTCAATTAAATTGCAAATGACTTGAAAGTTGTTATGTGACTTGTGAAATGCTTAACAGTAGGTTATATAGTAATATAAAGCAGGAGAAACCAACAATCCTGTAACTTTCCACTCATGTTTTTAATTTTCAATGGCAAATCCTAATTGGAGTAAGCCTGAATTCATTTGGCAAATGGATTGGTATATTTTACAGAAGACAGTTCAAGGCGTGAATGCCCAATTTTAATTTTAGATTTCAATTTGAGCTGATCTTATCTTATCTCTGTCTTACCTCTGCCTTTCAATTTGCCTGAGACAGGAGAACCCAGGGCCAGGCTGTCCTCAGACAATTCTAAGTAGAACTCCTTTTTTTGGGGGGGGTAGGGGGGAGGGGTACTTTTCCATCTGGCAATCCTATCCCGCACACAAACACATGAAAAATAAATGGATAAAATGAACATTCATATTTTGTCTTATTGCTTCACCTTCTCATAGTTTTGCCCCGTCTTATGAAGCTTACTAGATACAGGTTAACTGTGTTCCACTGAATACAATGCCCTGTATTTCTCTCTTGGCAATTCATAACTCATTGAAGTAGTAAAAGCTCCTTTAAATCTATAATAAATGACCCATGTAAGCACTTTCAACCTTTCAATGGAACATCTTTTCCTTTTGTTTGTTTTTTTAATAATTATTTTATTTACATATAAAATGTTAAATGGAACATCCTTCCCTTTTTTTAATGTTTATTTTATCCTATAAAATAAAAGGCTAATATGCAAATAGACCAAAAGGTGGAACAAGCAAACAACCAGTCACTACGACGTGTGCTGACCACCAGGGGGTGTATGTGGAACATACTAGTAGTGGGCATCAGCAGCAGGCAGCAGAGCATGTAACATGGCAGGCCTTGGTCAAGGCAGGATGGTGTAGCAAGTGAGGTGATGGTAGAGCAGGTGAGCGGGGCACCAGACCAAGGCAGAGAGCTGGTTGCTGTCATCAGAGGGGATCCTCTGATGGTTACTGAAAATTCTTTGCTCCCACATACTGTGGTCCTGCCCCATGCTCACACTTGCTGTTAGCACCCAGCGCCAGGCCCAATAGCTTGGCGTAGTCAGCAGGTGCAAGCAGCAGCTGCTAGCCCTGATCACCCCTGAGAGCTTCTCCAACTCCCTCTGCTCATGAAGGGCAAACAGGGCAGCAGCCGCCACTCTCACCCACTGATGACAGTACTGGCCCAACTCCCACCCACTGCTGGTGTCAGCTCCAAGCCCCAATAACTCCACACCTTCAGCAGGTGCAAGTGGGGCCAGCATCGTCAGTGCATGGGAACAGCAGTGGTGGTAGTGGGGCTGCTGGCAGACAGCAAACTGGGGGCCGAGCAGGGCACAGAAGATGGGCTGAGACCTTCCCCTGTGCCCACAGCAGCCTCATGGCCCACAGTTCCTTTCAAGGTGCATGAATTTGTGCACTGGGACCCTAGTTTACATATAAAATGTTGAAAGGCAAAATAAATTATAAAGGGTAGAAGTGCAACACACTCTTGTCAATCAGTGGGTGAGAAAGGTGTGAGGTATAATAAACACTTAATACGATTCTTACTGTGCATTTTATTTCCCATCAATGGCACACATGAGTATAATTTCCCCAGAATTTCAAAAAAGTATTGACTATATTTACCTCAAACTGTTTTGTATGTGTGACATACGCCTTTATCCCTGAGGGATGGACTATTTTGCCTAGTGATTTTATAAAATAAAAAAGGCAGCTTAATTGGCATATAGCAGACTTTCATGCTATATTTTTCATATCCACATCTCATCCCCTTCCTCATCTAATAACTTAATATCAGACACTTAATATATGTAATACCCTTTTCTTTAAAAGCATTGTGATATTCAAAAATATTTTAATTACTTATGATCCTGTTAAAACTCATAAATACCATAACCCTTTACATTCATAGGAAGGAGTAGAAAAATGAAAATAAAATAGCTCATTTGCTTTACATTCTGTTTTCCCTTCATGCTTCATATGTAATTAATCAACAAGCCCACCCATCAACTTTGCCTTTTCTATTTCTCTTGCATTGGTGCCTAGATCTCCAGTTCTGTAGCCACTGTCCTGATTTAGACTCTTATGTCTCAACCCCATTTTACTGCAATAACCTTTTCCAGATTTCCTGCCTCTAGTCTCACTCCCCTCTGATCCACCCACTGCACCACTGACAGAAAGGTCATTCAAACAAATGCAATTGTGTCCGTTGGGTGGAAATGTTACAATGGAACTCCACAAAATTGAATTTTAATTCTTTGCATGGCACTCAACATCCATGATCTCATTTCTGCTCATTTTGCACCATCAAGCCTAATCTATAGCTCTGGTGATCCTTACATTTTCCCGAAAACTACTGCATTCCCCCACATCTCTGCGGGTACATACTGCGTGCTCTTTGGATCCCTGCTCCTACACTTGGCTACTCAGTAATTTCTCTCAAGTCTCAGCTGAAAGGTCACTTTCAGTGAAACTTTTCTCCCTTAATTTCAACCAGCAGCCTGAGGCTGCATTTCTCCTGTGCTCCCCAAAGAATGTTTCACTTATAAATATTGTCTTACTGCAGTATAATTGCCAGCCCTCATTTTGATTTCTCATTAGGCTTTTAGTCTAATGAAATAAGTGATTTTTAAGAACATAGCACTTAGCCTTAGCTGGTTTGGCTCAGTGGATAGAGCATTTGCTCGTGAACTGAAGGATCCCGAGTTCAATTCCAGTCAAGGGCAAGTACCTCTGTTGCAGGCTCAATCCTGGGCATCGGTTAGGATGTGTGCAAGAGGCAACCAATTGATGTGTATCTCTCACATGGATGTTTCTCTCTTTCTGTCTCTCCTCCTCTCGTCCACTCTCTCTAAAAATAAATGGAAAAATATCCTTTGGTGAGGATTAACAACAATGAAAACAACTATATATATATCACTGAATATGACATCAGAAACCTTGGAGTTCCAAAA